ATTTAAAAGCAGCAACCGATCTCATACTCAAAACTATCGTGGTGTTCACCGAACACCGGCTATAGCTAAAATCCTCGAGAAAATAGTACATAACCAATTGCTAGACCGTCTCATGAACGCCAACCTCATTCCCTCCTCTCAACATGCATTTTACCCAAAAAGTCATGTCAGTCCTGCCGCCTTACTTTTTTGGAATTTGTTTCCAGCAATAGAGATGATGGAAACACAGTAGCTTCAATATACTTCGATCTAAGAAAGGCCTTTGACAAAGTACCCCATAAAAGACTACTGATAAAGCTAAAAAGTCATGGAATTAGGCCACTCCTTCTCGATTTTCTTAAATCTTATCTTCGAAACCGATACCAGGTGGTGCGAATTCGAAACGTCGTTTCAGAACCATCCCCTATTACCAGTGGAGTACTTCAAGGCACTATCCTAGGCCCCCTTCTATTTCTTATATATATTCACGACTTATCGTCCATATCTGTCTCAGCTAAGACGTATTTATATGCGGACGACCTTAAAATTGCATATGCATATAACGGGAATACAGTAGCCAATATTCATAGAACAATTGAAACTGATCTCAGAAAACTCAGCGAATGGAGTAGTCAGTGGCAGATGCCCTTTTCACCCGAAAAATGCCATCTCCTGATATTTGGCCCACAAAAACTTCCCCCCATAATATTCGAGGATAATGAAATAACAGAGGCCCAATCGGTAAAAGATTTAGGTCTCAGCTATACAAATATCCTTGATTTATCTCCCCACGTCCAAAAAATATCATCGAAAGCCACTCGCTTTGATGGGACCCCGACGGGTCTTTAATAAAAATTATTTATCTATCTATCTATCTATATGTAAAAATTTCACCTTAAATGCACTAAGAATACAACTGGTCAAAATGTATGTTTTACCTCTCCTTGATTACTGTTCAGTTTTCTTCGGCATAATGCCCTCAGACGGCCGAGAGAAACTAGAAGGCATTCAGAGACGTTTTACTAGATCTTTGTCTAGAAGTGATGGCATCTAGGGTTCATACTTAGAACTATATCATAAATACGGTCTTCGACCACTCTGGATCAGAAGACTTCAAAATGGTCCAAACTTCCTATTCACGGTCACCCACGACCAAGATATTCTCAAAATGAATTTACTTACCAACCAAAACGCCCCTAGAAACACCAGAAATAGCGAGGATATTATAAGGATTCACAAATTCACAAAGTCCTAACGGTCAAATTTCTACTCCATAAAATATGCGACTATCTGGAATTCTCTTCCAGGTTATATCCGGAAAAGTCGAACCCTAATCGAGTTTAAAATAAAAACAAAGAAATTCCTTTCAAATAACAATACACATTTATTTTTGAGTAAGATAGGACATTTTTCAAGTCAATTCTTTGATATAGAATTTGGTCCAAAAGGGCTCTCATAATGCCAGCCGATTGAAAAATACCGGAACATAGCACTAAAAACGATCAAATTTGTAAAAGATAGCATCATTGATAAACATAGAACAGATAATGATATTATTTTTTTTCCTCCCTTTCTCGTTTCCATCAGCTATGTCACCTGACACTAAATATCCCTTATAAAGCTAATAAAAATATACCATTCGATAAAACCCTGCATACTAGTCGTGCGTATGTGTATATTAAGGCCATATTAAACATATATACAACTCATTGATAGCGTTGGTGGCGCTAAAGCCTTCCCCTTACTGCGTGGTTTCGAATCCCACCGAGGCGCCGAGTTTTTCACAGTTGGGTCAATATGAATATATGACAGTTCGACCTTCGTTTTCGATGATGTCCACCGTGTGCCCCACAGTTACAGCAGCAATGGGAGCAGGGACGGTGACTTACGCAGGGGTTTATAGTGCCGGTAGACTTGCGTAGCATCTACCTACACACTCTCCTCCTCCCTCGCCCAAGCCCGGTGTCAAGACAGAGTCAAGAAGACCGGAGACGAGAGAGGCCGCAAGTGGATGGCTCGGACGGATCCTCACCTTGGCGTTCCACCACACCCCCTGGCCCACACAACAGAATTACCAGGATTTCAACCAACACAGCAGAGATTTGGAGGCTGGCACGGCCGAAGCCGCACCTGGGCGTGCCGCCAACGCCTGGCTCGGATCCCACACTGTGGTGGGAATGCCATAAAGGCCACATTAAAAAGGAGCCATTGCAGCCTGACTCTCAGACCGCCTCCGGTCAAGGAGGAGGTCCAAGTTACCCCGTCAGTTGGCAACCTTCCAAGCCACGGCTTTTAGCGCACCGTGATAGCTTCAAGCGCGTCAGATTGTTTATAGTGAGGAGGAAGTGCGCTGAGTCGTCAACCTCACTCTCCCTTCCCATTCCAACACCCCAGCCGCTGTCCGAGCCGGTCAGCAGACTGGAGTGGGGAATGGGCGCGGTGGCTGTCATGGTCGACTGACCATGACTGCGCGCGCCACGACACGATCTGGCCCCCATGCACACAACACCAGGATTTCACACAACGGGGGTTGAACGGCGTGTCTCTCACCTGCGTGAGAGTGCCGTGGAAGGTGCTGTTTCAGCCCGTTCCCAGCCCACCAGTCCGCCACTCCACACAACACACACACACAACGCGACGAACTGCGTGAACCGAGAACGGGCGTCAATCAGCAACCTTCCTATCCACGACGCTTGACGTGTCGGGATAGCCTCGGACTCAAGTCACCCGTGCAGCCGAAGCCGCATGGGGACCGAGTCGAGATGCGGACTTCCCACTTGCGTGGGAGGTGGCAGTTGGGTGCATGAGGTGTGTGAGAGTTGATTTCTGGTGGGGTGATGGTGGTGGTGGAGGAGGAGGTAGGGAGTGAGTGGATATGTGGTGTGGCCGGCGGTTGTCTACCACAGGTCGTCGTGGATGCGCATGTGGCCGAATAGGCCCATGCGATGCCTGAAAGTGCGAGGGCAGTGTGGGCAGTTGAGACGAGCTTGGTGGGTATAGGTGAGTGCTCCAGGCACTGGGTCGCCAGTCTCTGTGCGATGGATTCGCAAGTGACCGACCAGGCCGATGCGTGAGGTGAATGTGCGTGGACAGTGTGGGCATGAGAAGTCGGCGGTGTCAGTGTCAGCTACAGAGGAGGCGGTGGTGGTGGTGGCGCGGACGGATGGAACGAGGGTGGGGGTGTGCACGGTGGATGTGTTGGATGTGGTGGGTGTGTCGGGAGTGCGGTCAAGGCCGCTCTCGTGGATACGCATGTGGCCGAAAAGGCCCATGCGATGCCTGAAGGTGCGAGGGCAGTGTGGGCAGTGGAGGCGAGTGCGGTGGGTGTAGGTTGGTGCTTCGCGCACTGGTTCGCCAGTCCCTGTGCGATGGATTCGCAAGTGACCGACCAGGCCGATGTGTCAGGTGAAGGTACGGTCGTAGTGAGGGCAGGTGTAGTCCTGATCCTCATCCCTGGAGTCGGGGGAGGTGGTGGTAGTGTCGGTTGTTGTGCGCGGGACAGTCGCCTGAGCGGCCGCCGTTGGAGCAGTGGGCGAGGAGGAGGAGGAGGAGGAGGAGGAGGAGGAGGAGGAGGAGTAGGAGGAGGAAAAGGATGATGGAAGTGGTGGGTCAGAAGAATTGTCAGGGTTAGTTGGCGGCGGAGAGGAGGAGGAAGAGGCAGGCGGGGGGACGATGGTTGGTGCCGTTCGAGAGGCGCAGTTAATCCGAAGATGTCCAACAAGTCCGATTCGAGCCCGGAATGCCCGTTGACATCGAGGACACGTTGGAGGCGGTTGTGCGGCGGCGTTGCTTACTGGGCGAAGTTGTGATTTGCGGGCTTCACGTTTCGCTTTGGCGGCAGCGATGCGGTTGGCTTCGTATATCGCAGCGCCTGTCTTCACTGTCCTCCTCCAGGTCGGTCGATCAAGTGCAAGCTCCTCCCAGTTGGTCGGGTTGATTTGCAGGCATTTCAGGGAGGACTTCAGGGTATCCTTGTAACGGCGAATCTGGCCTCCTTGACGGCGAAAAACCGTCGCGACGTCTCCGTAGAAGAGTCGTTTGGGTAGTCGCTCGTCATCCACGCGCACCAGGTGGCCGCTCCAGCGCAGCTGAATTTGCCTCAGTATGGCGTAGATGCTGAGGATTCCCGTCCGTTCCAGCACATCAGTGTCGGGGATTCGATCCTGCCAGTTCAGCCTCAGGATGCGACCAAGACAACTGAGGTGGAAGGGGTTCAGACGACGTGCCTGCTTTGCGTACACCGTCCAAGTCTCCGCTCCATACAGTAGTGTCGGCAGGATGACGGCCTTGTACATCTTCAGCTTCGTGCTCAGCTGAAGACCTTGGCGATTCCAAACTGTGCTTTGGAGGCGGCCGAAGGCTTGACTGGCTTTCGAGATCCTGTTGGCGACTTCGTCGTCGATCTTGGTGCTGCGGGAGAGAGTACTGCCCAGGTACGGGAAGTTCTCCACCACTTGCAGTTGGGTTCCGTTCACGCTGATTTGCGGCGGCGCGTTGGGGACTGTGGCTGAGTTGGGTGGCGGTTGGTGCACCACCACCGTCTTCTGCGTGTTAATGATCAGACCGAAGTTCTCGCAGGCGGCGGAGAACAGGTCCATGCTCCATTGCATCTCCTCTTCCGAGGTGGTGTTCAGGGCGCAGTCGTCGGCGAAGAGGAGTTCGTGAACGGTGGTTGTGGATACGCGCGATTGGAAGTGCATTCGCCGTTGATTCAGGAGGTGACCGTCCGTCCTGTAGGCGACGCGGATCCCGGGGCGTTCGTCGCGGTAGGCGTCCATCAGCATGGCAGAGAACATAAGACTGAAGAGGGTAGGCGCCAGTACGCAGCCCTGCTTCACTCCATTGGTCACCGCGAATGCCTCTGAGACAGCTCCGTTGTCCGTGACTCGCGCCATCATACCGTCGTGCAGCTGACGCACCATCTGAGTGAACCGCTCCGGACAGCCGAATTTCTGCATGATCTTCCACAGTCCTTCACGATTCACCGTGTCGAAGGATTTCGTCAGGTCCACGAAAGTAGATTACAGGTGGGTCCGCATCTCCTGACACTTCTCCTGAAGTTGACGGGCGGCGAAGATCATATCCCTGGTCCCACGATGACGACGGAAGCCGCATTGGCTTTCCGGCAGAAGGCCCTGTTCCAGATGGTTATTGAGGCGGTTGAGGAGGATTCGTGCGAAGATCTTCCCGGCGATGTTCAGCAGGGAGATGCCGCGGTGATTGTCGCAGACTTGGCGATTCCCTTTGCGCTTGTAGAGATGCACGATGGTTGCGTCTTTGAAATCTTGCGGGACTTCACCTTGACGCCACATCTCCTGGAAGAGCGCAGTCAGGTGGTCCATCAGTTGGGACCTCCGTGCTTGTAGACCTCAGCAGGGATTGCGTCCGATCCGGGTGCTTTCCCGCTGGAGAGCTGCTGCACGGCCCTGATGGTCTCCTGGAGAGATGGCGGGAGGTCGAGGTCCACGTTGGTCTCCACTTGCGGCAAACGCTCGATGGCGGCGTCGGAGATGACGGAGGGGCGGTTGAGGACGCCTCGGAAATGCTCGGCCCATCGCTGCAGGATTTGCGTCTTCTCAGTCAGGAGAGTGTTGTCGTCGGCGCTGAGGAGAGGAGCAGTGCCCTTCGTCGGCGGACCGTAGACAGCTTTGATCGCAGAGAAGAAGTTCTTCCATTCGTTGCGGTCCGCGTACTCTTAGATCTCCTCAGCTTTGCGAGCGGTCCAGGCGTCCTGCATCTCGCGCAGTCGTTGCTGCAGTTGGCGGCGGCTGCGGTAGAAGGCAGCTTTGGTGGCATCAGTGGGGTGATCTACGTAGACTTTGTGTAGGCGGTCCTTCTCAGCTAGCAGATTTCTGATGGCGGCGTCGTTGTCGTCGAACCAGTCCTGGTGTTGGCGGGGAGCGCGACCGAGGACGGCGAGCGCCGTCGACTGGACCGTGTCTCGCAGTTGACACCAGCGGTTCTCCACGGAGGCGTTCTCGGCAGCGGCGGCGTCGGCAGCGATAGGAAGGTTGTCTAGCCTTTGGGCTAGCTCATTGCTGAAAAGAAGATGGTGACCGGGCAAAGACAACAAGGAAACATTCAGCTTACTTGGGGGTCGCTTACCTTGTGGTCTCCTGCGAGGCTGTAGACGAAGACGCATCTTCGAGATGACGAGGCGATGGTCGGTCCACCCGTCAGCACCCGCGATCGCCTTCGTCACCAGCACGTCCCGCTGATCTCGCCTCCGGACGAGGACGTAGTCCAGCAGGTGCCACTGACGCGATCGAGGATGCCTCCAGGTGGCCTTCTCTCGCTCCGGCAGACAGAAGAAGGTGTTCGTCAGGATGAGACGGTGTTCTGCGCAGGTGCGGAGAAGCAGCAGACCATTGTCGTTTGAGCCGCGGAGACCGTGGGGACCCAGCACTCATCTCCAGGCAGTATGGTCTGTGCCGACGCGGGCGTTGAAGTCACCAAGGACAATCAACTTGTCCGCCTTCGACACAGTCACCAAGAGGGCGTGCAGGTCCTCGTAGAATTTGTCTCTGACGGCGTCGGGGTTGGTCATCGTCGGAGCGTAGGCGCTGATGATGGTGGCGAATTTGCCTCCCCAGAGAGGCAGGCGGAGACTCATCAGGCGATCGTTGATGCCCTGCGGCATACAGGGCAGTCGTCCCACGATGTCGTTCCGAATGGCGAAGGCGACACCCGCGTCCCGTCGCTCTGCCCTGGGTCGACCGCTCCAAAAGAAGGTGTAGCCGGCACCCACCTCCTCCAGTTGGCCTTGTTCGGAGAATCGGGTCTCGCTGAGTGCGACGATGTCCACCTTGTAGCGCGCCAGTTCCCGAGCCACTAGTGTTCTTCTGCGTTCCGGTCGGTTGCTCCTCGGATTGTCTAAAAGGGAACGAACATTCCAGGCTGCCAGAGTGAGCGGGCTCACCCTGCCAGTCTGGTGACAGCGAGTGGGGCGACGGGAAGGAGATGGAGAAGAAGGTGACGAAGGAGAAGAATAGGCAGAGGAAGAGGAAGAAGAGGTAGGATGAGGAGAATGAGTATGGTTGTTGTTGTTGTTGTTGTTGTTGTTATTGGTATTGTTGTTGTTTCGATTTTGATTGTGTAGACCATGATAAGACGTTTGCAGCCCTGGCTAGCCTGGAGACGGCGTGGCACCCAGCAATGTTTAGGCCCCCTTTTCTAGGCCCTTCCCCCCGTGGGGGCTGGCAGTGCCATCCCTGAATAGGGCTGCCATGTGCCGTTTTGGCACGGCCGAACTCCACTATGGGACCACGACTTCGGGTTGTAGTGGAGAGCGACTCGAATTCGCCGTAAGCCGCGGTCTCCGACGGCGTAGGTGGGCGCGTCAAAGCAATGTCGATGTGGAGATCCATCCCATCACCGGCTGTCCAGCGGCGTGCAGAGACGAACCACGTCACGACGGTGCCGACGCAAGGTTCCATCCGACCTGCCATCCAGCGGAATCCGCAAACCCTGTGCACACGGCACAGCGCACAGGGCCCCCTCACCTGGTTTAGCCCGCCGGTCGAGACGGATGCCCGGGGTGTGGCCGCTGAGCAGAGTCCAGCTACGTGGAGCCACAGGTGAGAGTCGAGTGTCAGCAAGTGGACGCTAGGCGCAGTCTCACCTGCAAGCAAGTGAGCGACCACTACGACCATTACGTAAACCCACCGCTGACACCCCTACACCCCATATACAACTATATTAGGTCATAGTAAACAGTCGACCATTACTCCTATAATTTCACATTAACAAGAACAATACGATACATGATTCAATAGTATTTTGACAGTTTTGATTGTGACTTACCATTGAATGCGTCTTACTCCTGATATATATTCATCTTTTCCAGCTCTTAGTCTAGACAACGATGGTAAGCCTCCTAAAAAACACGTAGGAACTGTGCGACCGCCCCCTTTCAGCTGGCCAGATAGACTGACAACCAGCAACTAGAGCACACCGAAATTTACCCAACAGGAAAATTATTTCAAGGTCAGGCCGATATCAAAGTTCTTCAATTGCCTTGAAGGACATATTATTCATGCCCCCGAAAACTACCAAACTTCAATTTTTATATTGTACATATCGTTATCTTTTGAAAATTTTGTCATCATCTTCCCTTAGAACTGAGGTTTTTTTAACTTAAAACAAACTCTCAATTCGAGCTCTTTTGGCTAACCAGACACACGAAGCAAACGAAGTCAAAGTGCAGTTGAAATTGACGAGTCTGTTTTAGGTTTTTTTCCTGAGTTCAAAGGGGACTGACAGTGCCCAAGGGGCGCTATAATAAATCTATTCTATTCTATAACCCCAGGCACATTCATGGCGTGACCTTCAATGCTTTGGTAAGGTTGGCGGTCGTCGCCAACCACCATGACTGAACACTTATGCCAAGAAAGAGAAAGGCGCCATGTGCGGCACCACTGGGCGAAAGCCTGTAGGTCGCTCTTTAGGAGCTCAAGCACTATGTCACGATCTGCCGGCTTAAATCGATATGCAGCTGTAAGATCATCGGCATACATGAAAGGCTTACCATTCTGAAATAAATCGGGTACATCATTAACGAAAAGGCAAAATGAATGCGGGCCGAGTACATTACCCTAAATGACCCGTGTGGGGTTGGAGATAATATTGGAAATCTTGACTCGTTGTGTACGAGTGCCCAGGTAAGAGGATATAAAATTCAAAAGTTTGCCACCTATTCCGAAAGAGGACAGTTTCAAGAGAAGAAGAGCATGGTCAACACGATCAAAAGCCTAAGTGGAATCGAAATATACTGTGTAAAGTGCAAAACCATTGTCCCTAGATTGGAGAACATAGTCAAAGAAAGAGAGTTGACAGGTGTCACAAGATCGAGCTTTGAGAAGTCCATGCTGAGCAGCACTCGGTAGATTATTCACTGTTAAGTGACACATCCTCTTATCCTTTATCAATGTCTCTAAGATCTTCGAAACTGCGGGGAGGGTGTCTATTTGCCAAAAAGTTAGCAAATGATGTAGATTTGCCGTGGTTAGGGATGGGCAAAATGTGTGATTCCTTCCACAAGGTAGGATGGGTTTCAGTTTCAAGAGCAAGATTAAATATCTTGCATAAGAGGGATGGGAAGATCGTGTTTGCATCGGCTTTTAAAATGCTTACTGGGACACCATCAGGGCCTGGACTATAAGATTGACGAAAACGCCGAATCGCAACAGTTACATCCCACAGAGTGAGAGTTAAATGTTCTAGAACTGCCCCGGTCAATGGCTGGATGGTCGGAAGCGGAGTGGTCGAGTCTTCAATGAACGTTTTGGACAAGAAATCATTGAAGCTATCAGCGGTTAACTGGGCATCAACTATGGGATTTCCGAGAGCGTCTCGGAGGATTGGATGTTGCGTCTTTCGGTGAGTTCGTATTTTTCTAGAGAAAAGTTTCGAGACATTTAACGAATGGTTTTCGGTAAACTGGACCTCTTTGGCTAGCTGCTTTTCTTCAGACAATCTCTTAGCTCGATCAGGAATATCACAAATGAAGGGCAGAACAGAAACATCGTTCTGACGATGGAAACGACGATAAAGCCTGCGCAATCTGCGACTAAAGGGTAAGGGCAGGAAAATCTCATCCCCAACATTAATACTTTTCTTACGGGGGACAAAACGAGAAATAAGCGGATCCAAAATTTGGCACAGATTTGCAGTGCAAACATTTACATCTGAACTAAGGAAGAAATCAGTCCAGTCGTAGGAATTAAGATGTGATAATAATTCGGTTGAGAGAGTTGATCGAAAATCGCGGAAGAAGTTTTACTTTGGGGAAGACGTTTTGTCAGCCTCGAATTCCAACGTTGAACAACTATGTCATGGTCTGAGCCCCCGAGTGGGCCTAGGGATGACACTGACGACGGCAAACAGCCTCTACAGAAAATTAAGTCCAGTAAACTTGATCCTCGGGTGGGAAAATCGACAACCTGAGTCCACATCCCAACATCCACAGCCTCAAGAAAGTCCTTGAACATTCTGGGGCCTGAGGGCGGAGACCAGCGGACTTTGGGGAGATTAAAGTCACCCGCAACTAATTGATACTTAATGCTTGAGTTGGCCGCGGCATGAAATGTCTGTGAGAGTAAACGATCGAAATTGTCGTTGGCGTTGGGAGGGCGATAGTCACAGCCAACGAGTAAAGAGAACTTATTTTTTAGCGCAACCTGGAGCCAGCAGCTGCCTTCTACTGCGGAAAAATGCAGGAGGTCCAACGGCAAAAATTTAAGTGTTTGTTTCACGTAGACGCAGCTGCCCCCAACACGGCTATCTTGGCGATCATTTCGGATGCAATAATAGCCTAGAAGCGAGAGTTCGGAGTCAGCTACTGAGGCTGATACCCACGTCTCAGTTACTTAAACAATATCTGGACAATGGACGAACACCAGAGTCTGAAGCAAAGGCATCTTATTAAGCAAGGATCTGGCATTTAAAACAAAAAGTTTGAAGGTAAAGGCTGTTAGTTTCTGAGGGAGACGGGCTACATCGTCCAGTTCTGGGCTGCCCACGGAACAAACGGTCCGGATGCAACCATCCGGTTCTGCAAAAAATTTTGTGGCATCGAAATATTCTGACGCGGATAAAAAGGGGTAGGACTTGGGGGAGGGAATGACGGGCAGGTAAGCTGGTTACCATTGTTAGCTAACTTATTTTCAGCCGAAAATCCGCGGGGCAGATACCGCAACACATTCCTGCCGGAACGAAACTGAGGATTAGACGAGTTAACTGATCCAGTATAGACATTATCATGATGAATACATTGGTAGAACGGTCGTGGTGGAAACAAGTTAGGGAGTGGGGGACGCATTGTTTTCAATGGAGCAAGAGTTTTATTCAACGGCGGGAAAATCGGCATATTCGGTCTAACTGCTTCGATATGAGGGCTGCGGGACAGTTGGAAAAACGCTACGTTTTGAGTCGGGGAATTTGAGGCACTGTTAGCCGATTGTGTAGGAAAACATTTTATAATGGTGCTCGATTTATCGGGTGTCCGAGTGGCTGAGACAGCAATTGGTTTTGCCTTTGACTTAGGCACATGCTTAGGCTTACTAGGGGTTGCTGGGGGAGTCGAGAGAGGCGTGTTTATACCAGGCGTGATGGTGTGTTTATAGAGCTCAGCATTAAAAGTAGTCGAATTCCCTACTGAATTGACTGTGCCGTGATGTGCAGATGCCGCAGATGGTGTTGTAGAGGACTTATTCAGACTGACAGTAGGTGTCATTATCTTGGTGTTGGTTTTTGCCGATTTTAATTTATTCAGTCTTCGCTGCAGGGGTGTGAGGTCTGGCGAAACGGAGCAGCGCCATTTACGGTAGAATTCTCTAGTTATCTCCCTACTCGACAAGATAAAATCGACTTCTATCATGGAGAATAGGGTAACTAGTATCGGTGCATTACGGCTAAGTGAGCGAAGTCGCTTAGCTTGTGCGACACCGAAACTCAAGCCACAACTTTGTAGGAACAAATGCGCTCCCTCCATAGCAGATAAGTGGCTTGGAATGTTTCGCAGTACGAAATTATGCTTGCGTTTAATTCTTTCCTTAGTTTCCGAACTTATTACCCCAATAAGTGTAAAAGCTTGTTCAATTACTCTTTCGGAAGTGCTGTTTATGTCGCCATAAATCAACTGGTCGACTATTTTGCCGGCTGATGGCCTGCTACGACTAGCAGAGGCGTATTTTAGACGACTGAAGGGTCAAGAGGTTCTACATGTACTAAAGGGATTTGTGAGTTAATGAGATCTGCAGACGGCGAAGAACATACGCTGGCACCTGCGATGTCTTCAGTCACGATTTTAGCAACCAGAGACGGTGGGGAGGCTGCAAGCTTTCGCCTTTTAGCACGTGCTCTGCGGGACATTACAGACAAGAAAAGTTCTTCTTTACAGAAGAAGGACCAACACGTTGCCAACGTACGGAAAAGCGCACTAAATAGCAAGTGCTACTGTTATTTAACTATGAAAACTAGAAAGAGATAGTAGGGAAAGCAGTCATTACAAAGGTTTTTTTTACAAAATACGACTATTTTGCCAGACTGTCAAGCAAAACTGGGAAAAATTATACCTTGTATTGAAAGGCGACTTTTAAAAGGGACTCAAGTAAAAAGCAGGCAGTAATTGCTTAAAAATATCCAGATAAATGCAAAGCTTCACTTATCTTTGAAATTGAGCTGCGCGCCTTGACCTTCCTACCCTAGTCCGTCCAATCACATGACCAACACTCAGCCAGTCATCCCCTCCTGCTAACAGAGACATGCACACCCGCGTAAACAACACAACGCGACCGAAGCTCTCCGTGAACGGACGCTTAGCTCAGTCACAGGCAAACAGCCTACTTCTGACATCCTGCCCTGTGCACAGAATAAATGGGTCCTCACAGCTCCTTGACTTCTGACACTAGACGAAACGAAATTATTGTGTGTGGTTTCCTCTGACCTTACGTCCTTGACCGCCACATGGGCAATGTTTGCGATCAAAATGGCGTTTGTAACTTTGACAAAGACCATTTTGGGAGAGTCTGCGGCCCCTTTGTTCGACCGCATCTAGGATGTGGCATGCCAACGCGATGGCCATGGCTAGCAAAGAACTAATCATGCCTCGAAAAGGTACAATGCTGTGCAACAAAGCTGGTAATAGGTTAAAAAACCAATCTCGTACAGAAGGATTGAGCTGTCCTAATTTATTCCCTCCGTGTTTCAGGCAGCAAAGAGGTGAACTTATCCCGGGTAACGTGATAATACATGGCCATGAGCATGGACTTAGCTTTGAGAACATGTTCCAGTGGCATCTCTCGCCCAATCTTCGTGGCCAATCGATGAAACTACGCACAAGAATGTCCGGGCTTAACCATCGTTGTGAATTTTTTACACAAAGTGGGGAAATGATACGGTCTCCCTCAATCAGTGTGGAGGAGGGATGTCTGCAGCTCTTTAAGAAACGCTTCGACGATTACTTGTGTCCCCTGTCTCCCCTCGACAAATTAAACCTGAGCTGAAAGTCTAACTTTCAAAAAGTTCTACCTAAATCATTTTAGCACTACCATATGGAGACAGTTTTCATTATACCTGTACAGTTGTAAATAACGCACTGGCATACTCAGTCAGTCAGTCAGTGTATTTGAGGGAAATAGGCTTACGCCTTTGAACTCCCTATTTGTACATAAAAAATCGATAAACAAGCAAAAATGTGAAGAAATTACAGCATTAAGTGAATGCATACATTGATTCACAGATGTCACTAGTCACATGGTTAAAAAGTCGCATAGTCCGCTTGTTGCTGCAGCATATATCTGTCAAGGCGACATTTAAATGTCTCCACAGATTGAGACATAACAACCGTCTCGGGCAGGTTATTCCGCGGTTCCACGACACGGTTGGAGAAGAAATATTTTCTCACATTCAGTCTACCCTGTGGCACACGCAGCTTGAAGGGATGTCCCCGGAGGTGAGTTGTGGTGGCGAGTTGGAAAAAGTCATTGCACCGAAGGGCACAATCCAAGCCGCGCACGATACGGAAAGTTTGTATCATGTCTCCGCGCAACTGCCTATAACTCAGAGGATAGAGATTAAGGTTAGTTAAGCGGATCTCGTATGGCAGTGCACTTTGACCTCTTACTAATTTTGTGGCTCGCCTCTGCACCCTTTCGAGCAGATCGTAATCCTGGTGCGTCCACGGTCTCCAGGCCTGAATTGCATATTCGAGATGGGGCCTTATAAACGTGCCGAAGACTTTGGTGAAGCAGTCTTCATCGAAAACTACGAATGCCCGCTTGATGGCATAAAGCATTGACGTTGCGGCCTTGGCCGCCTTACAGCATTGTGTAGAAGGCTCTAGGGTGTCTGCAACCCAAACTCCGAGATCTTTCTGAGTTTCTGCTTCTCGGAGTGGCATTCCGTTCAGATGGTATTGCCGCGTACTAGGGCTCTGATTTCCGAGGCGCATAATGGTGCATTTGTTCAAATTGAAGGACAAGAGCCATCTGCGGGACCACTCGTCCAACCGACAAAGATTTTCTTGGAAGTTGGTCTCATCGGCAGCATTTTGGATGACTTTCCAGATTTTTATGTCATCCGCAAACATGGCACAATCACAGTTCAACCCATCTACGCAATCATTGATGAACAAGAGAAAGAGAGTTGGTCCGAGCACCGAGCCTTGTGGGACCCCACTCTCTATGAATGTGCACCTTGATTGCTGTTGTTCTACGCAGACAATTTGGGAGCGGCCGACAAGGAAATTTTCGATCCATTTGAGAATTGATTGCTGTTGTTCTACGCAGACAATTTGGGAGCGGCCGACAAGGAAATTTTCGATCCATTTGAGAAGTTTGCCACCGATGCCCATAATTCTCAACTTGTGTAGGAGACGCTGGTGCGGAACACGGTCAAACGCCTTCCGAAAATCAATATAGGCAACATGCACGGTGTGTTTTGCGTCCAGTGCTCGTGTCCAACTTTGCATTGTGTATAGCAAGTTCGTAACACATGATCTTCCCCTACGGAAACCATATTGTGTATTGGACAAGAGGTTGTGGGTTTCCAAGTAAGCCATCAACTCCTTTTTGATGATTTCCTCTATCACTTTCCAGCAAATTGATTTCAGACTGACGGGTCTGTAGTTTGTCGCCAGAGCACGACTACCGCTTTTGTAAAGGGGTGTAATGTGGGCCGTCTTCCAGTCTGTGGGAAGAATTCCAGCATGAAACGATTTTTGGCACAGAAAGGATAGTGGCTTGGCCAGCTGTTGGGCAAGCTCAAAGAGCAGCTTTGCTGGAATCTCGTCCGGACCGGGAGATTTACATTCCTTCAAGCTTTTCAGTTCTTCCAAAATCGCTTCTTCTCGAAACACAATATTTTCGATAGTTGGATCTCTCATGTTCTCAGAATTAGATGGGGTAAAGTCCGCTTCTCTTGTGAAAACGGATCGGAAAAATTGAGAAAAGTGCTCAGCCTTATTTGTACTGTCCGATATCTCCAAGCCGTCATCAACCCTCATAACAGGAATGGGATTCCTGTTACGTGTGCTTTTCCGCAAATAGCTGTAGAGCAATTTCGGATTTTTAACGGCTTGGTGGAGCAAATTACTCTCAAAATCCCGTCGCCTCCTGAAAATCAGACTTTTCACCTTATTTCTTTGAATTTTGTATTCTGTAAACGCTGCATTATTGTCGTTCTCGCGAACTTTTTTCCAAAACCTACCTTTCTTGTTGATCTCCCTTTTGAGTTCTCGTGTAAGCCACTGAGGGCGGTTGGATATCCTAGGCTTTGATAAGGGACAGTGGTTCTTCATTAGATGCAGTAAACGATCCTTGAATAAATTCCAGTCCTCGTTAACGTTTCCGGAGAAGAGAACATCCCAGTCTATTTGTGATGCCTCAGCTCTCATTTGGCGAAAGTCCCCTTTCCATATATTTGGCCTCGTATTGTCTTTTGTACACGGTTCAGAATACAGCAAGTACTCGCATAAAAGCACTGCATGATCACTTCGACCGGGGGGGGGGGGGGTAGGTAGTACACCTCGTCTATACTGTCAGGATCTTTGGTAAAAACGAGGTCCAGACAACTGGCCTGTTGTCCTCCACGAGCTCTAGTTGGAAACAGGACATGTTGCGTGAGTAGAGCTTCTAGAGTTGTCTTTAGTATATGGTAATCGAAGGTATTCGTCGAGCATTTCGCATGCATATCACTCCATTGAATGCATGGTGCATTAAAATCCCCCATGATAACAACGTCCGGTCGGCTGGCGATCTCTTTTATGCTTTTCAGTAGACAAGTATCTGGGTCGGGATCCGCCTGCGGGGGCCGGTAGATAGTTAAGACTTCGAGGGACTGAGATCCCCGCGCCTTTATAGTCAGCCAAATTGCCTCTGTGTCGTTAGAAATCTTGTCGGTCCTCTCACACACTGCTAAGTTGCTCTTGACATACATGGCAACTCCTCTACCCCGGCGGCCTCTCCTGTCTCTCCTAAACAAATGGTATCCTGTTAATGCTACCTCGCAATCGCCAACGTCCTCTGACAGCCACGTTTCTGTTATTGCTATAACATCGGGAAGAGTATCGGCTACCTGGATTCTCAGTTCGTCAAGCTTGGAAAACAGACTCTGAGCATTGGTGTAAAAGAATTTTAGTTTGCAACATTCGACAGTGCTTCGTTCGGTTTGTCTCGGGTTTGCCAATATTATGTTGCTGCCGCCATCATGATGACTGGCTGGTTCCGAAACAACATCGCGTTCCTCTGTATTACTCGTCCCCTGAAAATGGCCAAGTTGCTCTCTCCCGCTGCAAGTCTCCTCTTCAACTCCGTTACCAATTCGCGGCGTTTCAGACGTTCCGCTGGAGAATAGTCCGGCTGAAAAAAAACTTCCTTGTGAAAGTTTCGGAGGCTGCTTTTCCTGGACAGAAGTAAGCTAGCTTCCTCTTTACTGTTCAAAACAATTTTCAGAGGTCGTGGCCGCACAGTTTCTGATTGTTCGCTCACCTTCTTTCCGATCCTGAAGGCTGCGCGAATGGTTATCTTTTCATTCGAATTAAGCATTTCGTTCAGTAGGTGTTGAAGCATATTAAGGTCAGCGGAGATCCTCTCCTTCGCGGTAGGAGCATCCGACTCCGATAGACCCTGGACGACTACGCAGTGCTGACGATCAAGGGGTTCATTTTTTCTGTTTCCGGTAGCCTTGTCAGCTGAAGGTCTCAGAAGATCCACCGGAGTCGTCTGGGGTTCTATACTCCCGTTGTGGCGCTTAACCTTTCCATCTTGCCATGAGCTTGTTTCCTCACTTCCAACTGAGGGTCCTATTGAACACGCGGAATGGCTGAGAGAAGTTGATGGCTCGCTTGGGTTGTCTCCCATAGAAACAAGAGACTCCATTGCTATTTTCCCATCGTCCTGGGTATCGGCGCTCTTGCACAGAGGTTTTCCACATGCTTTGTTCTTTGGCTGTTTGAGAGTTTTGCTCTTTCCCTTTTTCTTGCTAACTTTAGCGCTATTCACCGCGTTTTGCGTACTATCGTTCGCTTGCACGAGTTCCCTTAAAGCAGTCAACTCTTTTTCGAGTTTTTGAACTTTCAGCAGAATAAATGAGCATCCAGTGCACGGCTCGTCCCCGTAACTAACAGGTTTTGCTGTGATAACGCTTTTAGCACGCTTTGCGGGCCCCTGGTTGCAACTATAAAGAGAGCGAGCGTTAATCCTAGGTGGCAAGGCCTTCTCAATTGACTTTCCTTCATACATAGTGTCGTTTGTACTACAAATAATTTTTACTTCCTTATTTATTTCAGTCGGCTGAGCGTGCGCAGATAGTCTAGCGGTTATGTCGCTGGTCACCGTACGACTGGACATGGGTTCGAATCCTACTTGCGGCGAGTTTTTCGCACATTGTCCTGATGGTGTTTTGTCGACTCCCATTATTAATTCAAACGATACGCAAGGGATTCTAGGTATGGGCGAAGTATTTAAAGGTGTAGGAGAAGCTTTTAAACCAAGCCAAAAATATGAAGTAAATATCAAACGACTCAGCCGCTTCTGGATCTGGAGAACCCCGCGGTGCTGTTGGCAGAGAATTGATATGAAGGAGTATGTTCGTCCCAAAGAAAGTTCTGTCGCAGTTCTGAGTGAATAGTTCGAGGAATTGCTGATTACGCTTCAATTTCTTAATACAAATGGGCCCGCAGAGCGTCCAGTAGGCAGAAATCCCGGAAAAAGCAAATCCCTCGGAGGTCGAAGACACGATCGCCGGGACAAGAGATTTATTAGCCTGACGTTTCGGATTCCTACTCGAAACCATCATCAGAGACAGAAAAGCAGAAACGGGTGTTTGTTGCACAAGGGGCTGCGGTATTTATAGGATGCAGTGGCCATGCTAC